GGGTCTCCCTGTAGCCCCAGCTGTCCTGGAACTCACTATGTAGACCAGGCTGGCCTTGAACTCACAGAGATCCGCCTCCCTCTGCCTCCCGAGTGCAGGGATTAAAGGCATGTGCCACCATGCCTGGCTCTTTCTCTAAAAAAAAAATAGTTTTATTAAAATATAATTCTTGGGGCTGGAGAGATGGCTCAGTGATTAAGAACACTGAATGCTCTTGCAGAAGACCCGGGTTTGAATTCCAGCACCCACATGGCAGCTAACAACTGTTCATAACTTAACTCCAGTTTCAGGGGATCTGACAATCTCTTCTGTTCTCTGAGGGCACTGTATGGCGTGGGTGCACTTACCTACATGCAGGCAATACACATACACATAAAATAAAAATAAGTAAAATATTTTAAAAAATACATAATTCTTAAGCTTGGCATAGTGCTGTATGTCTGTAATTCCAGCACGTGGGAGGCTGAGGCTGAAGGATCATGAGTTCAAGGCCAGCTTTGGCTACACAGTAAGACCTGAGATACACACACATACACACACAATTTTAGTATATTTTGAGTTGTGTGCCTATTACCAGTCAAGTGGTGGGGCTGGATGCCCTTTCTTCGGCTCTATCATGGAAGATAGGCCTCTTCCTATGATTGAAGCATTGACCCTTCCACCTCTCTGCTTGATACATTTCAGTCACACCCACATGCTAGCAGCCCCTAGACTTCCACCTCCAAGCCAGCTCAAGATGGCTATTTGCTACTGTGTGTCTCCCCTGGTGTACATAGGCTCCCATAGTTAACTCTTCCCAAATCAGGCCAAAGGTCTCACCGCACCACTCCAGGCTGCCCCTCTGAGGTTCCCTCCTCTGGGGATACCAATATGCTACCAAAGGAGTCAGGCTCAAGTTATCTTTCTTTCTCACAGAAACCACGAAGTCCTGTCATTTCCACTCCAGATCTCTTGGCAAAGCAAAACCAGAGGCAAGGCCACAGAGTATCTGATTCCATGAAATGTTCAAAGCAGGTGCATTTGTGGACACAGAAGGCAGACTGGTGGTCACTGCAGGGAGGGAGAAGGGATGGGGAGCCACTGCTCAACAGCCACAGAGTTTCTTTTGGGGTGATAAGAGGGCTTTGGGACTAGATAGAGGTGGTGAGTATACTAAGTCCACTGTGCTTTCAAGTTAAAATTGTTAGTTTTATGATATATGAACATCTCCACTTATTTTTTTATAGACGGAGAATGAGTATTCATTTTATTTATTTTTTTTAAATTTTATTTATTATTTTTATTTTATGTGTATGCGTGTATTGCCTGCATGTAGGTAAGTGCACCCATGTCGTGCAATGCCCTCAGAGGTCAGAAGAGGCTGTCGGATCCCATGGGACTGGAGTTACGGACAGTTGTTAGTTGCACTGTGGGTGCTGGGATTCGAACCCGGGTCTTCTGCAAGAACAATCGGTGTTCTTAACTGCTGAGCCATCTCTCCAGCCCCTCCACTTATTTAAGAAAAATATTTATTTTATGTGTATGAGTGTATTGTCTGCATGTATGTAAGTGTACCTGTGTCATGCAATGCCCATGGAGGTCAGAAGAGGGCATTGGACCCCCGGAACTGGAGTTACAGATGATGGTTAACTGCCAAATGGGTGCTGGGAACTGAACCCAGGTCTTCTTCAAGAGCAGTCAGTGCTTTTAACTGTTGAGCCATCTCTCCAGCCCTATCAT